AAAGAAAGAAAGAAAGAAAGAAAGAAAAGAAAAAAAATCCCAAACTATGGGATTCATTCAAAGATGACTGAGTGGGGGCAAGGAAGACTCAACCTAACTAGTATTTTACCAATCTGTCATGTTTGAATGATGAGAGCTCCATGGAAGAAAGGAGATGCTAAGTAGCGCTTCAAAGCTTCGGACTACAACCAAAACACAGTATCATTTCAAACAGAAGTGGAGCCAAACACTGCTCACTTTTATGTGGTTCAGGGATACTGACATCAGTATTTAATCATCTGCTCACTCATCCAGGAAAAAGGGAAGATCAGTTGCTACTGTACTTTGATTGTTTTCAACTCAATGACCATGTTATAAAAATAGCAAGCTGCCATAATAAAAATAAAGGCTCCTCTATCCAGCACCAGTTATCTTCAGTCCTTTAACCGCCAAGCCTACAAACGCCACAACCATATCCAAAGAACAGAAGGGAGCAAAAAAACTGCACCTCATGTAATTAGCTGGGACCACCACACTGTTCAGGCTGAGCTATTCCTCTGCTGTATTATTTTCCTTATATTTCTGGTGTTTCATCTAGTCAAAAAGATTTTTAGGTCTAAATTATATGCACTCAAAACAATGGGTGCATATATTTCTGTATAAATTCTGACTGAAGATGCATGGCCATCAACCGAGCGCATGTTATATAGTAGGTGCAAGCTTGCAAAGCCTCGTTTTTACTGGTACAGCAGCTGTGTGTCAGGGTAAATTACGCCTATGTCCCTTGTACATCTCCAGGCTCTGAACAGGATAATGTCACAGGCCATTTTGCCCCTTGGCTGCTGGCATTATCTGATTTATTTCTCCATGTTTTCCCTCCCCCCAACCAATCTCCCGCAACAAACCATAGCCTTTAAGATTTTGTTTCTTCGGTTTTGATCGCCTGAGGTTTGATTGGTCCAGTTCTAACAGGTTTGGTGGCTATGGAGGGTGCAGGGGGTGGTTTTTCTTCTACTTTTTCCTGACAGACACCAGGAGGGTCAGTCAGTGTTTCAGGAGGTTTACTTGAATCACTGTCCACTTTCTGGGCTTTGCCTCCTATCTGTTTGCTCTGTTGCTGTTCAGAGAAGAACCGTTGCGTGGACTGAAGAACCTCTGCTCTCTGCTTTGCCTTAAAAAATGAGAAAGAACAACTGAAAATACTGTAGCATTACCAAAGCCTGTCAAATCAACGTTGGTTCAAATTATTTTACCAATCACAAATCAGTTTTCCCCACACTGGTTTGGCCCAAGCCAAAAGTACCTCATTGATCTCTGAGTTTTTAATGCATAGATTTCTTCCTATTTTCAAAAATATTCCATGTAATTAAAAACAAAAAACAACAACAACAACAACAACAACAACAAAAAAAAAAAAAAAAAAAAAAAAAAAAAAAAAAANAAACCACAGGACCACCTCCCACCACCTTTTCAAGGTCTGCCCTCTGATAAAATAATAAAATATAAATTGCTGCTGATTTGTGTCTTTTCTGGAACAAAGCTTATTGATATTAAATTTTAGTTAGGGAACCTGCTTGCAAATCTGAAAACACACATGTAACACTTAAAACTTCTAGTTATCAATATGTGGTCTACAATAAAATGAAAAGGAAGCACTTATATTGTGGCATTACCAACACCTAGGACCAAATGTCTTGTGGCTGAGTCCTCTTCCCACAGCTCTCTTCTGCAGGGGAAGAGCATCAGAAATTAGTAACTACGACTTCACTTGATCACTAAGTTCTGATAGCTCCTACCACATTCTGAGCTGGTAAAATAATTTCTTAGTTTTGGCTATGTGCCCCCAAAAAATACTTACGTCAATCTGTAAATTTTACCACTGTAACATTCACAATTAAAACTTGTTTCCATCCTTCTTGCATATAATAAAAACTGCTTCATGTTCTACAGGTAACCTGTACTATCCAAACATCTGAAGCAATTTTCAAGACACTTGTACCCTCTCCCACCCCATTAAGATTATTAAGCTCTAATGTTATTTTCAACATGGGAATATGTGAAAATCAAGAGCCAAGGAGCCAGAAGCAGAACTGGAAACCAAGGCCAAATAATTTCCAAAGAGTTTCACTCACACTGGTATTTCTAATTATAACAAACAGATGGAAATCCTGGGCATACAGCCTTAATGAAAGTAGATAATTATTTAATAAAAGTTTTACTGCTGGGTAGTCTTTATATTTGATTACTCAGGATCAGAAACACTAGGGATGTTGCCTCACAAAGAAACTTTAATCATTCAAACTTTCTAATAGGATTATCATAAACATGTTTCTAATTCAGAGTAAAGCAATACTATGCACATTTCCCTGAAAGCAGTAAGCTTTTCTTTGTTCTAGGCTGATCTGATGACATATGTAGTTACAAAACAGGCAACAATTACTAAGAACCTTGAAAGTCAAGCCTAAAGTAAATATAGAAATAAACTGATTCAACTGGCTGTTCTGGCAGACATGTAAGGTTTATGCTACAAAACTGTCCCCACACAGACTCCTAAAGGCACTCTTTCTGCATTAGCAAACCTCATGTTTATCAGTGCCTTTCGTCATGAAGGATCCCAAAGTGCTTTTCTGAGTTCTTCATCTAAAACTGCACAATCCACTGTGGAATACAACCACCTCATGTGGAAGGACAAAAAAGGGTATGAAAACAGTTTGAGAAGAAAACTGTACTTTGATGACTCATAATGGAAAAACACCAAGATAGGTAACACATCTTACCCATTCCAGAGTTTTCATATAACCATGATTTATATTATAAGCTGACGGGAGGAGGACAGTTAGGGGAAAGGGGAGAAGAAAATTAAAAAAATAAATAAATAAATAAAAAATAAAAGAAAAAGCAAACAGGGAAATCTATAATAATTCATATTACTTCTTTGCTATTAAAAAAATTGCATCTAAACTCAGATCTCCCTCAAATATTTATTTTATAACAATTCATTTGGCCACAGTTTAATACATTAATTCGTTTCCTGACTACAGTTGCAAAAAAAAAGAAAAAGAAAAAAAGAAACAAAAAGAAAAAAAAGATGGAGGGAGTGGGAATGGGGGGAAAAAAGGAGGAAAAAAAAGGGAATGAATAAAAGTAGTTAGCTTGGTAAAGTCTGCTAAGACAATGAATGCCTGGATATACAGTTATGGGTCCAGAGGCATTTTAAGACATGGTTCAGAAACAGATTCTTGATCTGTTGGCTGTTAACACTGTACTAACCTTCATGTCTTGTTCAGCCTTCAACGCAGCCTGGGCCTGATTACCTCTGACTCCAGATAGTGATCCACAAGGACCCCTGGCTACATGTGGCAAACGAGCATGGCTCATGAGGCCTGTGGTCAGCGGAGGAGGCATCTGACTGGCCAGTGCCATTGGTGGCCTCTGAACAGGCGCTGGGAAGGTGTTAGTATGTGGGGCTCTTACCAATGGAGGGACCAGGTTAGGCTGAGAGAGAATCTGAGTGAAAAAAACAAGACATACAACATTGAACTGTTAAAAAAAAAAAAAAAAACGCCAACTAGACCAGGTTGGCTTATCCCAGAGTAAATGTGCCCATCCTACCAGTGAACAGAAGTGTATGGATTGTGCCAATCCATTAGCAAGGACAAAGAATAAACAAGCCATGCTTGGAGAGTTTAACGGAAAAATTAGGCAAGGCATGCTATGGCACTTCAGTTGGTCCTAGCATCTCAGCTGTAAATTCTGAAGGCAGGATACAAAGACTTTTAATTAGGCTATCTTTTTAAAAGGTACAGTTACAGAAAAGGCACACACCTATAACAAACATAATCTGAAGGTAAATAAAATCAATACTAGTTCAACAAATGTGAATTTCTCAGGAACCAGTTCTAGTTTGTGAACTAATTCTAGTTTGTGAGAGTTCTTAGTTAGTCCTTTTATATCATCAGCAAGGGGAAGAGAAGCCAACATTTTTATACATGTATTAAAACATCTTTTTGGAAATTTTCTCTCAAGTATACATAGATATCTTTGAAAAAAAAATTAAAAATCAACTTTAAACCTAGAAAACTTCAAGCACTGGGACCCTTCGCTGAAAAGTCAACTCCTTAAAAAAAGTTAAAAGGAAAAGGACTCAAATTATCAGAGCTGTGTGGGGAATCTCTTAACTATTTCTCTTGTCTGCTTTAGAACTAAACAATTTCTATGTCTGGCTATAAATTGCAGACTATGTATCATAAATTTACTCTTAAATTCAGAAACTAATTTTTATTAAAAACTGTACTTCTTAACTGGTTAACATAAAGCAAGGTCATAATTTTTCCAGATTAGCAACTATTTGTAAGTAAATATACTCATTTCTCAATTATGTCTGCCCACCTGGGGTGCAAACTGTGTAGGAAATGGTTGTGTCATTCTCACAGAGGCAGGGGCTGATTGGAACTGCTTCTGGTAGACAATGCTGTTCATTTTGCTGGACTGGCTGTTCGGACTTGTAGAAGTAGCCCTTGGGAAGAAGCCATTAGTAGTCAGTACAGTAATACCAAGTAAATAATGCTGTTAGTTTTTGTGAACACCATTCTTGGTATTTTCATCATACTTGGTAGTTAGTAAAAATTTACTATGATGAGTTACCAAAACATTCTGGTAGAATAGAGACATTGGAGAAGCAGAGGTAAGAAAGGATACCAGCTATTTTGGCTGGTTTGAGACCAGCTTGGACAATATTTTTTAAAAAAATTAGCCAGGTGTGGCGGGATGTGTATGTAGTCCCAGCTACTCAGGAGGCTCAGGCAGGAGGATCACTTGAGCCCAGGTATTTGAGGTTGCAATGAGCTATGATCATGCCACGGCACACTAGCCTGGGTAACAGAGTGGGACTGTCTCAAAAAATAAAAAAAGTTTTACTTTGTATCTAAGTGATTTACTTAAAATACAGTACAACAAACCAAACACATTTTAAATAATTTAAAAGCTTAATCTTTTAGACAAAACTATCAAAAAGAATGTCTTAATAATCCTTTTCTGCTTGGAAAAGGGATTATGTCACACAAGACTGATGCTATATTAAGTATTTAATAAATAGTGACTATTTTGGAATTTCATAAGCAAATTTAAATGCACATTTTACCGGAAGGGACTGGATGTTGGTGTGGTGCTTCTACCAGCGATTGGAGGTGTGCCTGGTTTTATATCAATGCCACTTCCAAAGGCTTTTAGTTCCATTTCAGACATCTGAGGAAAAGCATAAAATAAACTTAACATTTCTTTAATTCTATAAGCTAAGTGCTGTATTTACATGTCCTATATGTGAAGACATAATCTAGGAAAGGGGAAAGAACCTTAGCACAAAACTCCTATAGTTACGATTCAAGAATTATGGAATTATCAGACCAAACAGACTTATAATTAAATAGGCCTAACAGACACTATAAATCCAATTATTTCAATAAATCTGTGAATTCTTTGTACTAGGTAAAAACTAGATGGGGCCAAACACATTAAAAGTAAATAGATAAAATGTAAATATAGTAGGGTTTGAGATTTTCTGCAGGGTGGTAAAAACTGACGCAGTTTAGTTTTTTAGATAACACAGATGCATATATCTGAACACACTACATTAAATTCTCAAATAACCTGTGCAAATGTCTCTTTACTTACTTTTCCTGCTGTTGCAATCATGCTATGCTGTGTTCCAGCAGGAATTAATCCCCTGAAAGGCTGGCTTACTTGTGCGGGACGGCTCAGACTCTGAGGCTGTGCTTGGGGAGTGGTATGCTGTAACGGGGGCTGAAGAGTCTGAGGCAAAGCAATTAGAGGTTGCCCTGTAGATCCAAAATTAGGCAAGGAGAGTTGGGATGCTGGTAAAGGTACTGTAACCTAGAAAATAAGTAAAGAGAAACTGCAGCAATTTGTTTCTGTTTACTACAGACATATCTATATAATTATACACAACTCTTTACATTCTTTTGAGTGAGATTTAAAACAGAACACATCAATCTAATACATTTCACATATTTATTTTGCTTAATGACCACAAGCTGAGTTAACTCTAATCTGAAAATCAAAATCTAAAATGCTCCAAAGCTTCTGAGAGGCTGATATGACACCACAAGTAGAGAATTTGAAACCAAGGCCAGGAGTGGTGGCTCACGCCTGTAAAGCACTTTGGGAGGCTGAGGCGGGCGAATCACTTGAATCAGGAGTTTGAGTCCAGCCTGGCCAACATGGGGAAACCCTGTCTTTACTAAACAAACAAACAAAAAATTAGCTGGGTATGGGGGTAGATGCCTGTAATCACAGCTACTCGAGAGGCTGAGGCAAGATAATCGCTAGAACCGGGAGGTGGAGTGTGCAGTGAGCTGAGATC